CTGATCCTGTAAGGATTACTGTGGGAGAGGTTGGTATGGCCAATGAAGATATCACACAAGTCGTTCAAGTAATTCTATCAGATGCTGAGAAAATGCCTTGGCTCCTTGAAAGGCTTCCTGCGTTGATAGATGAAGGCGATGTTCTAGTTTTTGCTTCAAAAAAGAACACTGTGGATGAAGTTGAATCACAACTTTCGCAGAGGGGTTTCAGAGTTGCGGCTCTGCATGGTGATAAAGATCAGGCTTCTCGAATGGAGATACTGCAAAAATTTAAATCTGGAATATACCACGTTCTCATTGCAACTGATGTTGCTGCTCGTGGTCTTGACATCAAGTCAATCAAATCTGTGGTCAATTTTGATATAGCTAAAGATATGGACATGCATGTCCATCGAATTGGAAGGACAGGTCGTGCTGGTGACAAAGATGGAACTGCTTACACTCTCATAACTCATAAGGAGGCCAGGTTTGCTGGTGAATTAGTTAACAGTTTAATTGCTGCTGGCCAAAATGTATCTATGGAACTAATGGATCTTGCCATGAAGGTATTTTCAACTTCCTGCAAATCTACACAGGCTTGCTATATATACAAGCATGCTATATGTTTCATTTTTCCACTGTTTTTGAATTGCATAAAATGATTTATTACATGTATTGCATACCAGCAATCCTCTCATATCTTGTTACATTTTTGAATAGTTGAAGTAACTATAATCTGGAGCTCAGGGAAATTTTGATGCTGCTTAGTTAAATTAGTAAAATACTTACCATGTTATTACATAGCTTTTGGCTATACTCTTTCGCTTTTATCTTTCCTCTTTCAGTATCCATGCATCCAATTCTACCCAAAATGGGCATTTATTAGAAGTCAAAAATTATTCGAAAATCAAGTCATAAAGGAAATCACATAACTAATAAGCATTATATATCTTTTAACCAGTCTGCTGTTGACTCAACCATGAACCATGGCAGGATGGTTACTAATCAGTTGTAACCAAAGTTGACCAGGACCATTCTCCAGTTAATACCTACCTAAAATGGAAAACAGTAGCTTAACTTTGTAGTGACATTATCATGGTGGATATTCTTATCAGGGCTTTTTTGTCCTTCTATTGTAAATACTGTTCTTTATGCAATGTTTCTCGCTTTGGGATATATGCAATTGCTCTTGTATATGTTTCTCTATGATAAATTAAATTTCTGTAGAATATTGCTCATGTTGTCTATATATTTCATGATCGAGTGACTTTTACCGTGTAAATCATTAGGATGGGAGGTTCAGGTCCAAACGTGATGCACGGAAAGGAGGTAAGGATCTTAATTTTGCAAATGACTCGTAATATCCTTGATATGTTCAAGTAATTGAGATTCGTGATGCATCATGCGTATGAATGATCTGGTGCTTCAGTTTTGTTCTTAATATTTATTGAGGGGTTTCTTCAATCATGATGAGTGACCCTAGGTGAAATAAACTTACATTAGTGTTTAATCTTCTTTTGTCGTTTATAATTTATTTCTACTGGAGAGTTTTGAAAACATAAGTTGCTCTTCCATTGAATGTTCAACAATATTTACAGGTGGGAAAAGAGCTAAAGGGAGGGGAGGTGGTAACCGAGGTGTGCGAGGCGTGGATTTTGGCCAGGGTATTGGGTATAATTCAGAATCCAATACAGCATCAATACCTGTTCCAAGTCGTTCAACTGCAGTTAATTCTCTGAGGACAGGGATGATGGCACAATTCAAAAACAATTTTGTTGCTGCATCATCTAATTCCCAAAATCAGGTTGCGAACCAGAATCCTGTCATGCATGCCGCCAAAAGAATGGCTTTACCGGGTTTTGTATCCGGTGGGACAATAGGTGGAGAAGTTCATACTGTTAAGACAACCAGTTCAACTGGTGCTGCTGCTGTGTCGAACACTGCTGCTCAGAACTCTGGAGATAATGCAAATCAAAGACGCTCAGAAGGGTGACTTTCCTAAACTAAAAATTCTCTGTTTTAATGATTTTGACTTGGTTGGAATATTTGCATGCTTTAACGCTTATCTAGAAAAAAAAAAAAAATTAAAGATTCACATGCAAATCTTTAATATTGGTGTCAAAACTTGCAAATTTTAATTATTATTATTATTATAGTTTTGATATCGCTTTGCTGTTGTTTGCAGTTCCAGAGATAGGCCTAGAGAAAGGCGGAGACCATCTGGTTGGGATCAGTAATCCGTACTAGATGATTTGCTGGTAGCTCAATACCTTTTAAGTTAAAGTGCTATTTTATCGTGTCTGTACTAAATAGCCACAAAATGCGTTCCTGTATTTTCTTTAATCTAAGTTAGTGTATCAATCAAAATTTTTTACTTTTTGAAGGCTAGTCACAAATGCTTCCATGTTTAAAGATTTTAATCACATTTTTCCTAATTCTTTGTCTACTGTTAGAGGAAGGGATTTTACAGAGATGATGATGATGATTGTATTTAATTTTCTTCTGTTCAAGGGAAAGCACAAACCGTATGAGTAGGAATTGGTCATATTTAACTTAAAAAACCAGTTCCGGATGGAATCTTAACAAATTGCAATGTTTGGTCACTGTTTGTATACGTTCTACATTTCAAAACTGCACTGAAAAGATTCATATATTAGACTTCAAATTTTGAAGAATTCTAATTATTTAGTGGTCACAATGTCACTCTAAACCTTTTGAGTTGTAAACGCACAGCCTGGTTTCAATTGGCCCTCGCTGAGTCCAATCAATGTTTTTTCATAAATGTGCATCTGTTCCTTTATCTTTCAGAGAAAACAGAATGGCTCTAGAGGGCTGTGGATCCTTGCTGTAAGGATGGGCGGCCACAGAAAATGGCCTGCATGACTAAAGTGGACACCCTTAATCAAAAAATGAGTTGATGTGAAACCTAGGCGGCATGAATTTGACAACTCACTACCAAGAAGTTTCAACTCATTAACTGTTCTCGGCGACTATCGCAGAAATTCCTACATTATGAAATTCTATGGAATTCAAAATGATGAAAATTCACAATGGAAAGGAAACTGTGACATTATCGAATTGATTAATTTACTTTAAAAAGTCTCTTAATATTATGAAAATTGGGTTTGTCTAGTGGTGATTATGAAAATTGATTTTTTGACCTTTAAATAGGAAAGTGAGTCTTGCCTGTGAAAGAAGAAGTAAAGAGTGACAGCTAACTTAAAAAAGTAATGGTCAAAAAATTAAATTTTTGGGTGAAAAACTAAAACTAAACATGCGCAAAATAAAAAAGATAAAAAAGTATCGGCGCTTAATAAAGTGCTGATGATATATTACATCAATTAATAAGTAAATACTGAATAAGTTCTTTGTAGTCTTGTAAATTTTAGGATGTGTTTGATTATACGTATGAAATTTGCATAGAAAGAAAATAAATTTTAGGTAATTCAATTGCCTAAAATTTAATCACATGAAAATTGTTAATTAAATATGTTTGATTGATTTAATTTTTAATCTAGAAAATATTGTATTTGATTTTGAGAGAAAGAGAGCGAATTCCCTGAAAAATAAAATCATACTCCCCTTAAAGAAAATATTTTCCTTGATTTTGAGGAAAATATGGTCACGTGACCAAAAATAGGAAAATATTTTCCATAGCAAAAATAACAATCAAACAGTACAAAAGTAAAAATTTGGATGAAAAAAATACATTTTTAATGAAAAATATTGACAATTAAACGCGCCGGTAGAGATTAAATGATTCATTAATTAATTGACGAGTCATATGACTCATTTGAGTTTTGTAGATAATCTATCTGAAATTTAAGAATAATGTTATTCATAGTCATTCCCTTTGTGGCACACATGGCAATTGTTTATTTGATGCATTAATGTAACAATTTTTCTATTAACTTATGTATCAAATAATCATTTGTTATATGTATGCTATATAGGACGACTATCATAGTAAGCGACAGCGAATAACATTATTTAATATTTAAAATCCTAAATTCAAAACTTATCTGTTAATGTCTAATTATTTTCACTAAAAGCACGCACGTTTAAACTTTACAAAAAGTGAGATTTCGTTTTGAGAGAGTGAAAAAATTGTTAGAACATTTTCATGAATTTTTTATTTTTTTATTTTTTTTATTTTTAAAAGAACAGTTGTCTTAATAGAGAACATATATTGTTTACTTGATAAAATTCTGCCCAACTTTTTAATCGATCAAACTTCAAATCAAATATTTCATCGAATTCAAACTTTTATCAACTTTTTAAGTATAGATTTTATCAAATTTTATCAAAATTTATCAAAACATTTATCAAAAGCTTTATCAAACAACCCCTTAAATTTAACGAGTAAATTTTTTATACGCTCCAACAAACTTTCTTAGTTTACTTTTTTCATCAATCATTCATTATTTTCCCTCATTTTTTAATTAATATATATATTTAGATCTCAATAACTAAATATTCTATATAATCTAAATAATTTAAATAGTAAAGCATCGAAACTTAATATTTAATAGATGCATTCATGATAAAACTCAAAGTACATTAAATTCTCCTGATGTAGATAATCAAACACGCTCTCTAGTCTCTATTTCAAAACACCTTACATTTATATTGTCCTTTAAAAGTCATTTTCTATTTTCACTTTATAATGATTAAATTTAATAAGTTACAAATTTCAATATTTTATTTATTAAAATATTTAAACAATATTTGAATTTATTTACCATTGACACACATAATAAAGAGCTAACAACAGAGATTTGTTGAAATGTATTAAAAAAATTATTCTTTAAGTTTAAATATGTCATCTATCATGCACGAAATGCCCTTTAAATCTAAAAATTCTCATGAAGATGCTCTTAACCATTCAGTTAATATATTAAAGAGGTGTCCTACTTTAATTCACAATTTAAAAAGTCCCAAATACAAAAATGTCTCTCAATGTCACAAATGTAAGTTATTTTAAAAGGTGTCCTACTTTAATTCCTATTGTCAAAAAGTCCTAAATACAAAAATGTCTCTCAATGTCTCAAAACAGGTACATGATAGTACTGGATATCAATGAATTTCTCTGAAGACTATCTGGTATATTAACCGCCTATCACGACATAATCTATAACATAAAAATTCTGATGGCTGAAGCAAAATGTGTGGAAAAATCGAAGTAAATTATACAAACAGGGTAAAATCAAGCTTTATCCTATCAGAACTCGAAGCTGCATGTGGTATAATATAAAAGAAACAAGAAATCTCAAGTGAAAAAGCCGAGGCAACAAATCAACACTCGTAAAGAGGCTTTCTTTCTTCAGCATTAAATGTTTTTGTTGTGTGACATGAGATCCTGTCAGAGGAACATTACATCTTCTAAATTTTCCGTTTCAGAGTCACTTCGATGATAGCTATTGGAGTTTTGGGCCGATAATGCTCATCTGTGTCCACCTCTTCAATTTCCTGAATAGCATACGATAGAATGAAGAATTTGGTTAATCGAGATGGGATGATTTGTATCATTATTCAAATGCTTGATGACCAAGATTTCATTCTAAATCTTAGAAAACATAAAAAAAATTCAGAAATGCCTCGTGACGATATGTAGAACAATGGCAAAGGAGGAACAAAAGTAGGGACTAAAGGGCAGCTTTACGTGCCTTGGAAGACAGGACAAGCAAGCGTATACAAGGTTCAAATAGTCAGCTGAACTGGCCGGAAGATCATGCAATAATTATTTTAAAATGCAGAGAAAAATCTGGGAGAGGGGCTATTTCATCCATGAGGTTTTAAAGCAAAATATTGGATGAACGGAGGTTTCCATTCAGAACAGCTTGTCTGAGTGGGTTCCGGTAGCATCAAAAAGAAAAGCAACATAAATAATAATCAAGATGTTACCTGTACAACATCTTCTCCCTTGATGACACGTCCAAATACATTAACTTTCTCGTTCAAGTCTGGAATTGGTGCAGTTGTAATTAAAAGATCGAATCTGCCCCCATCACGTTTTGTCTTAGATGTGCCCAGCATAAAAGCTTCATGCTTCAGGCTGGGCAAGAATGAAAGCAAAGCTTTTAGCCATGACAAATTAATTGATAAAAGATTTTAAAGACGCACACGGAATGGGAGCAAACCTTGTATCAAGTTGACTATAATGCTTTCCCTTTGAAGTCCAATCTTCAGTCGTTCCAACACTATCATCATCACCCCCTTGAATGACAAAGTTCTTTATTACACGGTTAAAGAACATTCCTTTAAAGCGCCCCTTCAAACTGTAAATTCGTTTGGGTTAATATATATCCTAATCGGGGTTTTAATAATGCCCTTCCAGAACATTCAAAATGAAAAAGTTCAATAAGCACTAACAAACAGAAGTTTGTGAGAATAAAAAGGAAGTCTGAAGCAAATAAACTTTCTAACACTTCCGCCCGTTTCTGAGAAGAGTCGTGGAGTTGGTCACAGCAAATTAATTCATTACATAAATGAACAATATTTGCATTTGACAGTAGAAGATTGTGGAATAAAGCCTTGCACATCTCCTTGAAATGATCTAGCAATTTTCAGTGATTGCGAAAATATTTGGACATTGGCATCCAAATCTAGAAGAATAAAAGGCCTATAGTATTGAAACTGTTGTTCATTTTGATTCACAGCTTATGTTAACAAGTTAACTCTACATGCTTGCACATGGGATAATTGCAGCTACAGTCCCAAACCTTTCATTTTTTTGTATTTACCTAAACTTTTCATTTATACCACCCACAGTCGCAAACTTTTCATTTCGTTGCAACAGAAGGAGAAGGAAAGATAGATGGTCCATCCATTTGACCATTAGTTGACCAGAAAAGTTGATTTTGACCAACCAACTTTAAGAGGGTAAAATGGTAATTTTAAATAATTTAATATAAAATAATTAAATTAAAAAAAAAAATGGAAATCTGCCACCATCCTCTCCCACCCACCCACAAATTTTCATCCTCTTCATAACACCCACCTACCAAACCTTACCCACGCAACCCCTTTCTGGTTATGATTTGAATGCTCCCTTCAGAAAGAAAGCACAAAAGAGTATTGAGCATTAAAAAATCCAAACTCCTGAGGGAAATATTATAGGAGAGACCAGAAGAGTGTTGAGCTAATTAAGGAGAAAGAGGAAATCTAAAAATGGCAAAGGAAAAAAGCAGAAATTTCTTGATATCTGTGAATGGATGGCAAACGACAAAAGGCTCTGCATCTTATGGTCTCTTAGAATCCCCATAAGGCAACCTGTTTTCTTGAATGTATAGGGGAGACCAAGGACCCCTGCATCAACAATGGCCATGAAAGCATTGCAAAGATCCCCTCTTCCACCGCGACCCTCTTCACACAATCCCCTCTTTCTATATTCAGAGAAATTTTTGCACTTCGATTTGTAGTCGAAGTATTTGGGATTTGGATTTCTGCAGTTTTGTGAGATTTCTCGTAAGGGAATGGAGCATTTTGGGTGTTTTTATTTCAAAGATCTAAGTGAAAATTTATGAAAAGTTTGGAATTGGGATTTTGATTTTGGATCTGCATAGAATTGAATTGCATTGTTGTTAACAGAGGAGTTTTAGGTGATGGTGGTGGCTTTCCTGGTGGGTTCGGTTTGTTTGTGGCGGCAGTTTATGGCGGTGACTGGCGATGGTCCGATGGTTTCTTCGGTTTTGATTTGATTTGAAGGTGGGGTGGGGAAGGTTTTCATTTTCTTTTCATTATTATTATTTTTAATTTAATTTTAAACATATTTTATGTATAAAATGTAAAGTTACCCTTTTACCCTTTTAAAATTGGTCGAAATGTGGTCAAAGTTAAATTTTTAGGTCAACTAATGGTCTTATGGATGACATCTATCCATTTGTCCTTTTGCTGCAATGAAATGAAAGGTTTGGTACTGTGGTGTGGTGTGGTACAAACTTTTAGGTAAAATCTGCGAAAAAAGGAAAGGTTTAGGACCACAGCTGCAATTATCCCCTTGTAGTTTCATGTAAATAAAATTCTCTATTAATGACCCAAAAGGCAACCCACAGACCATCAGTAGCTGCACCCTTTGAATTCCAAGGGTATTCATGAGGGTAAGTCCATCTTTTCGTTGAGGTGTGTATAACTTTAAGATAATAGAGTATTGAATACTTAAAAGTGAAAGTACTTATCAAAAAAGAATACTTAAAAGTGAAAGTTCAAGAACCAAATTTCACCAGGAGAAGCAAACACTAGGCAACAGAACTACAAGGGACATATTTTCAAGGCACTAATGATATTGATATATAAAAAGATTGATCAAATACTTACCATGAGTTAACAAATTTCTCGACAACTTCAGGAGAAGAACCTTCCTTGTAAAGTTCCACAGTTATTGAGCCTTTTGAGGTACTTATCACCTATTGACATGTAACTATGTTATCATACTATCTGAAAAGAAAAATAAAGAACAATAAAAGGAGGAACAGAAAAATACAGCGTGGAATTTAAAACCACCAAATGAAACACTGAATTTCGTTAAGCGCGTGTTTGGCAGGGCAGAAAGGTCAATGTGAAAATGGAATGATAAAAAATGAAAGGGCGGTAATTTTTATTGTTTGTATGGAATGAAAAGTGGGAGGAAAAGAACAATTATTTTTCATCTCTCATGTTTTCTTCTTTTCCTCTCAGTTTCCACCCCTATTCCTAGACAAAGGAAGGAAAATAGTTTTGTCTCCTCAAAGGACAGAAAATCGATATCGCAATTATCTGTCCCTCGTTTTCCATCCTTTCATCCAAGCATAGCCTTAATATAAATCTGGCAGCATATACTGCAGATAACAACCAAATAAAGCGGAGTAAAATCTATTAATGATAAGAGAAACACCACTTAATATATATGCTCATGGCACTGACTAAAGTCTAATAAACACAGAGAACTGCAGGATACAATGAGTAGTGGATTTTTCTTTGTTTGGTATATAAGCTTAAACCATTCACTAAAGAAGCATAATTTTATAAATGAAACTACAGTTCCACTCAATTAACTGAAAGATTCATAGAAGTAGAGTATAAAACTAATGATTATCTGCCATATCAAGAGACTTACAGCATATCTAGGAATGTCAACTTTCTTTGTATCACGGCTATCGCCAAAGGAATTATCGTGCTGCAGAAAGGGGGCGGGGGGGATTCAAACATGAGACATAGACATAGACATAGAAAATGGCACTACTGATGGTTATGGTATGAAAAGAAAATCATACATATAGAGGCAGCACAAAGGATGAACAACTCATGAAATTATCAATGTCAAGAGAAGTAAAGTATAAATCTAGTTAATAATAACGCTAGATTTTTATTTAGAAGTGGTTACCTAGCAAGCAAACAACTAAATATGGACAAAAGTAAGAAATAGTTACGGAATCTTGTGGTGGGCCATACCTCTACAGCTGATAATGTATCCTCCATGTGAAGTTTTGACCTAAACAGAGATAAGCACATGAGAATTATGAACATAACAAATAGTTATTTCCAAGGACTTGCATTTTGATGAATAAATCTATTATACATACAATTGAATAATATCCTTCAATTTGTTAACATCTAGTAAATTTCTAAAATTTATTATTTCCAGCACATTTATTGATCCCTTTCATCCGAAAACAAAATGTTCAACCGAAATATTCAATGTTAAAATCTGCATTATGATCCCACAATCATAACTCTACATACAAACAAACATACTATGAGATATACATTAATGCATTAAAACCGTCAATCTTTACTATAAGCCTTTTAAATTGATAAGACTAGGAAGGCCAATGGGAGTACAACTCAAATGGAGAATTCAAGCAACTCTTACATTTATTTATTTATTTTATTTTTTTTACCAGAATTGCCAATAAATTCCAAAACATACTAAAGACATATTAAATCAAGATCATTAAATGAGCAGCTTAGAGTGCAAGTGGAACTGAACTTACGGAGTTCAAAAAAAGAGAAAATAAAATCGCAAACCTTTTAGACCAGTATCTGCAGGTGGCAAAAATGAAAAGCACCATGCCAACAACCACGATGCCGTAAATTACAGTGGTAGCAACACTGATTCGACTTGGTCCCTTCTTCTTCTTGCTTTGTTGCAATAGAGCTTGAGGTTTGATCCTTGCCATTGAACTTTTACAATAAACACTTCAAAAATCTGAACATCGAGAAGAAAACCAGCTATCATTGATAGGAATTCAGAGCACTAAATGCTGTTTCCACATTCACATATCAAATTGAATAAATCGAGAACCAGTCAACCAATTACAATTTATAATTAAAAAAAAAAAAACATCCACGATCTGAAAATAAAATGATTTGAATGGAAATCATTTCAAATTACAACCCCAATTACTTCTAAAAAACAGAATCCACTACTATAAGAAAAGGCGAACAAATAGCAATAAAATAAAATAAAAAATCAGTCTTAAATTACAGAAACGCATATAATTTACAGAAACATTATTACAAACCAAATCTGATCGAAAAAAATAAAAAATAAAGATAGACTAGATACCTTAATTAATTTTCCTTTCTCTCCAAAAGTAGAAAGTTCGATCTGAATTGAACTCCAATTGAAATTTTTTTTTGGCAGTTATCGCGATTCTTGAATTTAATCTCTCGAAGTTTGTTTACTTTTACTTGAGTGGAGAGTAATTTTCAGTTGAAATGTAAGAGTCACAGCCACCGCGTGATATATAATCTTTTGGACCGAACAATTTTCTGGAAAAGAAGAGCCAGAGAAAATTTGTTTCTTACACTTTTGTTATTAAAAAGGGTCCCTGAAGTTTATGATAGTTACAAAAATACCCTTATTGTTTCAAGAATTGCCCTTGTTGAGCCTGCTAAACGGATAGGGCCATGTCGGCCCTGGACGGACAAGGCCGCTTGGCCCTGTTCGAACAACTTTTTCCTATATATAATTAGAAACTATTATTAAACAATATTGATCTATTATCGTTTTTCCTTTTTCCTTTTCTCATTTCTTAAATTTTATTTTATTCTTTTAATGCAAACATTGATTTTAACTGAAATAAATCTTGAAATCTCATTAAATTTATGTAATAATATTTGAATAAAAATTTTATTTTTATGTAATAATTATATTATGTCAAGTTTAAGACATTTTTAACTCTATTTGAGCTCCATTTTGTGCCCAAAATATTTTTAGAATAATATTTTGTTAGAGAATGTATAGTTATACAATAAAGAAATTTTTTTGGTTTACATTTAAAATTATGTCATGAAAAAATGTAATGTGATTGAAAATGAGTTTTGAGAAAATAATTTTTTTGAAAAAATGAGAGCCAAACATAGGCTTACTATAAATACCAATGAATAATGTTGGGGGGAACGAACTCCGACCTAGATTAAATATAATATTCTCAGAGCATCAACTCCATCTATAAAGTTTTTGTCGGATTACTAAGATTAGCTTGGCCTCATGGCCGCCGAAATCTTAGAAAACATATTAATTACAGATTATCTATCATACTGCGAAGTCAGCTAGTTCACCAATCAATGAAAGACATCGAGCAAGTATGACGTCATCACCTCCTTTTTACACCAATCAGCTGCAAGAGCTACTTATTCAATTTCAGCTCATCATTTTTTATAATACAACAGCTGACATCATGATGATCTTGTAGCAGCCGACCTCAACGGCCAACAAAGACAAGATCACTAGCACGCCTCCCAAGCTCGACACTAATTGAGTCAACCAATGAGCAGCTCATCTTGCCTATAAATAAGGGCAAGTAGTTCCCTCCAAACGGAGCGATGCGCTTACCTTACAACTCCAAAGACAAACCTTTCATTTTTGCTTCTCTTCCTTGTGGAGTGATTAAATACTTGTATTTGAGAATTGTTATCGGTAAAAATACCTTATCTTGAAGTTGGTCCACAAATTATCCTAACAATTTTTTATGTCAACAAATAATAATTAAAGATTTCTCTTTCTATCTTCTTAAAATTTTAGATCAATCGTAAGTAGAAATGGAAATATTAACTTTAACAAATAAATTAAATGCTCATTTGTGAAGAATATATATGTGTGTGTGTGTGTGGCATGTTAAGGTGAAAAACGAGTGAAATATTCTTTTCCTATACTTCACTTTTCTTTTGAAGCAAGTAATTATTCCCTTTACAACTTAAGCTTTATTCTTGATCAATATTGCTAAAATGTAAAAAAGAAAAGGAGATAAAACTCTAAACAATTTCACTAGGAACAAGTACAACTTCTGGCATCTCAATGTAGTATGGAAAATGCCGTGTCGTGGTGTACACACGACTTTACGCCCCCTTACATGAAGGAAGGTCCACGAATATTTTATTACATATGGACCCCCTCCATGTGAAAGAGGTGTAAAGCCGTGTGTACACCATTATGTACACACAGCATGATCCATGTAGTATTGGGTATAAATTAATTAATATCATTTTTTACATTTTCTACCAAAAAAATGCAATTTGCATTTCCTTTACATCTATCGATTGAAAAGATTTCCGACAACTTTGAAGATCTAAATAACAATTTAAATCTATTTTACGCCACGACTGGAGGTGCTCTTGCATAGTAAAAAGTAATCTCAATCGACAAATATAACTTGATAAAAAAGACCATCACAATCCCAAAAGAGAGCTCGTGGTTTGTACTTGTAAGCATGTAAACTAAAGATTATCTATAGGTGCAAAGTTGACGGTCCTAGCTGCTGAAGAAACTCGATGCCCAATAAAAATAGACACGCAAAAAGCCACTACGGAAAAGAGAAGAGAAAAGGCTGTTGCAGCATCCCACGGGCTTCTTTGTTCTACCTTGGAGAGGCCAGAACTGCCAGGAGTAAAATCCATAGATATCCAATCACAGCTCGTCGAATAGTGAGCGGAACCGTGCCATGGTTTGTCGTCCTCTGGGTACCAGAATGCTGCAGATACTTTGCTTGATTTGCCGATTGTGAACTGAGCATCCTGTATCGACAAAGCAATGCAGTCGATATCGATTGCTATGAAAATATATCTTCAGACCAGCATGTTTGGCTAAACTTAATTAAGTAAAGAGTCATTTTGAAGGAAGTTTTGTTCCAAAAATGTTTGGGAAATTACCATTTCTTAGGTCCAGAAAACGTAACTGGTATTCAAAATAACTCTTATCTTAGTATTGAAAGTAACTTATTTTCAATTTTGATGAAAAGAAAATTTACCTATTTTGCAGCTTACTTTTCAACTTTTAGGGATGCTTTTAAGCTCAACTAAACATGCTCATTGGCTAGAAAAACGATATGAGGAATTCCCATTTTGTTTTGAAGTCGGTCCATAAACTAAAGATAGTATAAGCAGCTAAACAGACCGATATCCACAGTTTGTATGAAGGAATCATCTAAAGCTACTAAGAAACAGTTTCAAGGTTTCCAGTCTATCCTTTTTAGTTTTTCATTCAATCTAAGTGTCGAATAAATTGCTTTATTAGCTGTAAAGAGAACTTACCTGTTGAATTCGATCCATGGTTCTCAAAGGCCTTGAAAATTCAAAATAATATGTTCCCTTTTGACTGTTTGAAGCATATGGGCTATCTTCCTCCACGAAACCTGATTGATTCAAGTGTATAAATCACAAATCAAAGCATTGACAATTGTCCCAGAAAACACTGATCAGGATTCCCAACTAAAATGGAAATTAAAAGCGTGTTTCGGAATTGCTATGATGCATTGACACGGACACGTATCACGTAATTTTTCAAAAAAGTATCAACACGACACGTCGCTGATATGTTGATTAAATTCTTCATTTATATAATATAAATTTAGTTTTATACTTGTTATTAATTTTTCTTATTAAAATCTTTTAAATATAGTACATATTTGTTATTTACTTATAACTTCGAGTTAAAATATATAATATTTTTAATTAAAAAAAAAAGAAAAATATTTATGGTAGAGTGTCCAAGAAGTGTTGGTATTGACACGTGTCAGACATGTGTCAGACACTGACATGCTACCCCAATTGACGTGTCCGTACTACAGAGCGAAATTGGTGAATAAGTGGTTAGTACTTGTAGGTCCCATGAAATGTTTAAATAAAAATTGGTTTCACCAAAAGTGTTTATAATTTAAACACTTGCCAAACAAGGGCAAACATTAAATGTAAGAGAAATCTGTTTAGCTTGGAAGGATTACCAAAAGCAAAGCTCACTGCAGCCGCAGAACAAGAAAAATGGAAATAGTAAGGTTTTGTGCTGGAAACGTTTTTAATATATAAAGAAAGCGCCTAATATGACGCACAATCTAAAAGAACAAATCGTTTCAAATGTGGATATATATCGAGAAAATGCAGTTAATTTTATATTCGATATAAAATTTATCAAGAACTTCCTCAAATCGGCTTTGCATTTTCGAAAGAATATTTAGCGACGTGATGTGGCCCAGTAAACAGCTAATGGTATCCAAATATATGCAGAATGCAGAAGTAGAATAAATATGTTGCACAAACGACCAAAATATAGAAGATGACAAAATAAAGTTAGCTTACCAGAGTGATCAACCAAGCAACTATGCCACCATGCCAAATCCACACCAAAAAGGCAAACAAAAGCTACCTATCCTATACCAATCTGCTAAAAAGAAAATTTGACCTCATCTTTCAAAAAGATCAAACACAATATAAGCTTGACCCGTGTACGGAAAAGAGCAAAGCACCAAAGGATAGAGACATGGACTCATATCTATATCAAAAAAATTGATTAAAAAAAAATAATAATAAAGAAAAGAAAAAAACTAGTACATTTTTCCATAAATTACATTTACAGTTTGAAACTGTACCCTTTAGTATATGCATAGTTCCCATTCACCTGCAACATGAAAAATGCCTCTTTCCCATCATGCACCACCTACAATAAATCGACCGAAAAAATATGAACACGGAGAAAAAATGCATATTGACTGTTAAAGAGAACATAAATTCAGCATCGTTTAAATATGATGATAATAGTAAAACTCAGGGCCACTCGTGAAACCCGAAAGTCAACATGAAAACGCTCAAATAACTAATTTGATTCGTTTAAACCTCAACAAATTTTAAGTTTACCTTGAGGGTCATTTTCCCGGAATTGTATTCTTTATCAGCGTCTGGGTCCAGGGCAGGCAAGAGGGAGAACTCAGAACCGTCAATGTCCTTCCAGTCATCAACGTGACCATCAAGAGTGATGATGCCGTTTTTGAACTCGGCCTGGATTCGGATTCCCGGGTCCGAATCACAGTGCCAGTCACCGGACTCCTCGTGCGAGTCAACTCGTTCGATCCGGGTCAGCCCATAGGACGCGACTGCGATGAAAAACACAAGGACTCGAAGCATCGTTTGGACCCAAAAGAAAAACTAAAATTCAAAGCCAGGCGGCTGGCGTTGTACTGCATTATAGTGCATAACAATATTAATACTACAGTATCATTAATTATGTACAACGCATCTGTACTAGCATTAAGACATTAAAATTTCCTACCTTTGCCCACAACCATTAAATATTTTTTTATCCCCTCGAACTTATTTTTTAATAGACCATACTTTGCCGGTCATAATCATACTTTTGGAAAAAGATTTTTAAGAGTCTGTTTTGGAGTGATCTTGAGAATTGATTTTTTGATCGTTAGGAGAAAAGTGGGGTCCACTTGTGAGAGAAGAAGTCAAATATGACGGCTGTAATAGTAAAATAACGATCAAAAAATCAATTTTTTTGGTGAAAAAATTGGGCCCAAATAGGCTCTAAATATATGCAATTAAAATTAGGCAAAATTTTCAAGTTTATGTGCATAATAATTTGTTGTATAAATGTGTGATTAAAAATAAATATGTGAAAAAAAGTGTAAAAAGTATAATTTTCAAACAGGGACTTTATATCATCATATTTGTCTAGATGAATAAATTGTGTGGAACATGTACGAGGTTGAATAGGTTAATACTGTTCTATTAATTAAGTACAACATAGTGTACTAGAATAAAATTTCAAATCTTTATGCTATTGTACTAACAAAGTGAATTCATTCGAGTTGTATCAATACCCATTTCAGTAGTCTTAGGAATTACTTTTAAATAATTTTTAATTAGGATAATCGTGGTATGTCTAGCCCTAGACCGGGCTGGGTTAGTATCTAACAATGGTGGTGGGTCTAGCAATGATGGTGCTTATTTTCATGTTTTGATGTTGTTGGAGATTTGGAATGATTTCTGGTGGTGGTAGTGGTGAGATGATAGTCAAAAATAATCGAGATGCAAGTGGCTGTGGTGCTCGCAACAGTGGTGGTGGTTAGATTGGGGTGAAATTGGGTGGGAATGGAATGGGATGTGATAAATATTGTTTGTTATCAATTATTTTGGTGATTGTGAAAAAAATAAAATAAAAATGGTTAAGTTGTAACCAATTAATATAATAATTTGTGATTATAAAATAAGTTGTGACATGTATAATTTTTGATTTGTGGTCGAGAAATAATGCGTAACTGTTGTAATAAGGAAAGTTCATTAGAGTTTATTGGTGAATGACAATTATACCCCTGCAACCCTAAAAATTATTACCGTTGTACCTCTGATTCTGTTCTATAAATAGAGGGTTTTGGTTCTTAATAAAACCCACACGTCTAATGACTTCTCTTTTATCTCTTTTCACAATACGTTATCAGCACGATAACTTAATTTTTTAAAGTTTAGTAAATGTAGTAATTTTTTTTATAAGTATAAATATTTATCATATGTATCGGAATTAATTTGGTGTCATGTGAATTCTTTCGATATACATGTACATCATAACAAGGTTGTTCATTCTCCTTTACTTTTCGTTGGTATACATATTAATTTTAATTCACGTTTGTATGTATAATATGTACACATATTAGTTCATGTCTTTTGATTCATAATCAATCATTTTTTCCATGTATTATTCGGTATTAATACTGTCTTTTAAATCTGTCACATATTAGTTCTACATTTAATTTCTATATATGTGAAATTCACGTGCATATTTAGTATCTTTTGCATATTGGTAAAATAAAAAATTTAGCCAATAAAAGATGTAGCCAATTTTGTTAACTTCTACATATGGAGATTCTTTTTCCTAATACATGTTTGATAATTAATTTTTCTATATAAATTCATATCATGTCTATATGCTAAGATATAATGTTTGAAATTTATATATATATAAATGTTTGTTCGATTTTCATGTACTTCATATAAATTAAAAATAATGAAACTTTACAAATACGGATTAATTGTTGAGATTATTATTTGTAGACCTGTCTACTACAAATATTTTATTGTTCCTCCTGAAATAGCACAACATTGATATATTGGTCATGAAGAATATTTTGTTATTCCTAAAGAATCCAAAATTCATGGTTATTAAATTTCATATGATGGTAATATTATAGTAGAATATTACTCTATCTCTCAAAGAGAGGATTTTATAAAATTCAGTTTATTTCCCGATTTGAGAAATTTCTTAGATCGATATCATAGATGAGTATCTTGTTGTTGCTCCTGAAATAGCACAACATTACATAAACAATTTTTTTTAATATCCCAAAAGAATATTAATCATAATTATGTTTATTACAAATACTTTGTTGTTGCTCCTGAAGTAGCACAATATTATTATTAATATTCCAAAAGAATATTATGTTTATTGTTCCTGAAGAACAAATCTTCATACAGATTAATATCTTATAGTGATAACATACTCCTATAGAGTTAATATTTTTAAACAAGAGTTTGTTTGTGTTACTGAAGTAGAATGACATTATTAATATTCTAAAAGAAGAGTATGATATTAAAATTTCAATATTCCAGAATAATATTGACACAATGCTTCTAAAAAAGTATAACTTAAAGAATATTTATTTTAAATGAATATAGTGTTGATGTGGGTTATAAAAATATTCCAAAAGATATTAATTGTTCCAGAAGAACATGATATTACCAATAGACGTATTCATCTAAATTATGTGCCCGATCATTCCTAAGATATGTGACCACCACGTGTGCAATTCTCCTTCGTGGTTAATGATTGATATCCAAGGTTGCAGCCACCCAAATTTATCATCAATTCCTTCCTGTACCATTTTTGGAGGTTCTGAGGCAATGTTGTCTGCGTAAGTTTACAATTCAACTTTATATTCGTAGAAGGTAATATTAATTTTACGCGTATATGTATGCATAATTATGTCACAGTATCTAGTTAAATTTTGGTAACAAATTTTAAGTTTATATTAAACAAAGTGAGCACTTAATTATTGCGGTTTGTGATTGTATAAGTATCATATATTAAATTAGGTTCACGGCTAAATGTCCATTACTATTGTTTATCGTTTGATTAATTATCTCGTTCTTTCGTTTGATTAATTATCTCGTTCTTACCCTTATAATACATGATTTTAATACTCGTATATTTGTCTACTATAAAATATTTTTGCTCTTGAATCATCACATTATTATTAATGTTCTAGTTATATTTTACTTGTTCCTAAAGAGCATAATTAGAAAATTGTGTTTTTACTTCTGAAGAGTAAATTCTTGTATAACTTTCAATACTGGCTGTAATTTTTAAAAGGAAAACAATTTCCTTATTTTATTAATATTCGAGAAGAATATTGATTTATCACTCTACAACAACATACTATTTGGTGTTTCAATATTCTCAAAGAATGATATACTATTGGAGAGCACGTCATTATAATTTCAATATTTTTAAGAAAAATATTGATATATCGTTCCAAAATAAGTAAAAATAATATAAACTAGTATTCTTTAAAATTATAATATTGTGTTCATAAAGAAGCACAAATTTATGCATATTAATAGTTTAGAAAAATGTTATGATTAATTTAAATGTGTCAATATTCCTGAAAAATATTATTCTATCACTTGTAAATAATCATAACTAGATATATATCAATATTTCAGAAAAATATTTATGTATTGCTCTTGAAGAAGCAATAATTCATGTTAATGTGCTCTCGAAGTAGCACATTCTCGAAAAATATATCATTTTGAACTTGTGTTTATCCCTGGAGGAAAACATACGACTATGTCATGTGGACATTGATCATTATATAATTATATAATATTTAATTATATTCTTCGAAATTAAATAATTGGATTATATCTTATATTGAACTAGAAGTTCAATTTGATTGGCATGACCAGTTTGACTATCATTGGATCAACAATGACGCGAAATCAAAATGAAGAACTAGAAGATTCTTCAATCCTATAAATTTCTATGTATCATTTGTTCTCATTATCGACAATTGATCATTAAAAGTCACTAGCTAAAATTGGAATTGAATTTTCTATATATCTGAAAATTAATTAGGGTGATATATGGGGCCCCGTCACCCACCACGTTGATCATCTAAATATTATTTGTATATAATAAATTTGATACAAATACTAGATGATTGCTTGGTATTCGCAACCTGAAGTTTGCGAAGTTATTGCTCAAATTTTAAAGTATGAGCATAATTTTCAGATTAAATAATCAAAACTATATCTTGTTAATACTAGTGGGTATAAATCTCAACATTTTAATGACTGCTTTTTGAGATGTCGATAAATGATTTAACAAGTTTGTTTGTTAAACATCTCCAATTAATTTAATTGAGAAAAATATATTTTCCATTTTCGTTTAGGGAATGTTATTACGTATCTTGTCAATATCATAGTTCTTCCTATTAAAATTGGCTTATGGTTCGAGCCTAAATTTTTCATCTAATTATTTTGATAGCGCAGTATGTATAAAATTGATCCACTACAATGCACTGAGATGAAAAATAATTAATGCTGAAAATAAATGCGTAGTATAAACCCTTATTACAAATGGTGATATTTTATAATGTAGTAAAAATATTTGTCAATTTAATTTGACAATTATCTCAACATTAGAAGAGGAATTAAAAAGTTGAAAATAATGTATAAATGCGTCATCATCTAAATCCTCGTTAAATATCATTCGAACCAAACGTTTGAAAGAGAATTTATTTAGATGTATTTGTTGATCAAAGAGATCAACAATATCTCACACACCAATTTTAAATGCTCCAATACGAATTGATGTCTCAAGGGACAATTTGTTAGCATTATATTTGATATATTTATGGCAAGCCTGAAGCGTGATGGTGTTCGATTCTCATACAAAAATATTCAAATGAAAATGGAGCAATTAGCAAAGATGGTTTCATTAAGGAGACATATACTCTTAATGAATATTTAGATATAACAAATTATAAAATCCCATAAGAGGTTCAAATACCTGATATATTGAAAATTGAGATATCTCAATAAGTTATGTCATCATGAAGAAAGAAATACAATCGAACAAGAAAAGAAAATGTTGTCGACAATAGTTTTACACATGATGTTGTACAGCATATAGTGAGG